ACTCTCGACGTCAGATGGATCAATTTGTTCCTCCTGTGGTTCCTCGCTATGAAGATCCATATCTTAACCCCTACTACTTACCTCCTCACGATGGCGGCTTGACTACCATCATCTCTATGAAGCTCACTGACCAGAACTACAATCTCTGGAGTCAGGTAATGGAGCTAGCTCTCAGTACTAAGAACAAACTGCAGTTTGTAAATGGGTTGATTCCAGTACCTCAGATTGGAGATCCCATTTGGCAGTCATGGCATAGATGTGACAGCACAGTGCGCTGTTGGATCTATAATTCTCTTTCTGATGACATTGCTAACAGTGTTGTTCCTTACAAAGTGGCTAAAGATGTATGGGATAACTTGAAGGATAGATTTAGCCAAGCAGACAACATGAGAGTCTATGAGTTGAATGAACAGATTGGGAAGTGTGTGCAAGGAAATCTCACTGTTACTTAATACTACACTGCACTTACTACTAAGTGGCAGGAGTATAAGATGTATAGGCCTATTTCTTGTTGTCCATGCCCTAATAGTCCTTTTTTCACTGTTCAAAGATATCAAGAGCATGATCTTATCATTAAGTTTATGCAAGGACTTAATGATAACTATCAAACAGCCAGAACACAGGTTCTGATGAATGCTCAGTTGCCTCCTATTGAGTCAGTTTTCAAGCAAATGGTTCAATTGGAGAGACAAATGAAGGCTATGAGTACTGAAAAGGAAAAGGGACGTGTTGAATCAGTGGCTTTGATGGCAGGACAACCAAACAAGCAACAGAAGGGTGGACAAGGTGGAAGAAATCCCAGAGATTACAAGGATGGGAAAAAGTTTTGTAGGTTTTGCAAGAAGGAATATCACACCATCGATGAATGTTATAAGTTGAAGAACAAACAAAGCAAAGATGGTGAAAGTTCCTTTGCTGGATCAGTTGAAACCACACTGTCTGAATCAGGTGGTACTCACACAACTGGTTCTGGTGGAGGAAAGGGGGAAGCAGATTTGATGAGTCTGCTTACTCCTAACCAGTTTGAGCAGCTCAGAACCATGCTCACCAGATCACCTTCTGCATCACCCTCACCACCAAATTCACCTGGAATGCATCATGCTGCTGTAGCAGTAAGAGGTTCACTGTCTGTTTCTCACTCAGGGAAGAAATCTGCTGGTTTCCAGGCTCCAGCAACTTATGCCTCTAATTCTTCAGGTAAACAAGCTCTCTCTACTGTGGTTGAATCACCTCGTAGTACAGTTTGGGTCCTGGATACAGGGGCAACAGATCACATCATATGTGATAAGAGCTTCTTTATGAAGCATAGAGCTTTGAACCAAGTGTTTGTGAATCTACCAAATGGACAGCAAGTCCAAGCAACTCACATAGGAATTGTTACTTTGCCTTGTGGGTTATTCATTACTCAAGTTCTGTTTGTTCCTTCTTTTGCTTACAATCTTGTTTCTGTAAGCAAGTTAACTCAAAACCATCCAGTTTCATTAACCTTCAAATCAAACTTCTGTTTGATCCAGGACCTTATTACTCGGAGGAGGATTGGTTTAGCCCAAGTCAGTAGAGGTCTTTACCTGTTTACAGAGTCCAGGAGTCAGGAGTTTGAAGTTTCTAAGGATTCACAGAAGTTTGCAGCAGGAGTGTTTAATTTCCAGAACCAAGACTTTAACATCTGGCATGCCAGATTAGGACACCCTTCCTTGTCTAGATTGAGAGTAGTTAAACAAAGTTGTAATGATGTTTCCTTACCTTTAACACAACACTGTGAGGTTTGTCATTTGGCTAAGCAAAAGAGGTTGCCATTTCCTGTAAGCACCTCAGTTAGTACTCATGCTTTTGAACTTGTGCATGTTGACATTTGGGGACCATTGAATACAGTTTCTAGAAATGGTTTCACTTATTTTCTCACTGTGGTGGATGATTACAGTAGAGCAGTGTGGGTTTTCCTCCTTAAATCAAAGGCTGAGGCCAGGCCATCTCTTCAATCTTTCTGTGTTATGGTTCAAAACCAGTTTTCTGTTTCTGTTAAAAGAGTCAGAACAGATCAAGGCCAAGAGTTTCACATGACTGAATTTTATTCAGCTCATGGTATTGTTCATGAAATGAGTTGTGTCTATACAGCTCAACAAAATGGGAGGGTAGAGAGAAAACACCAGCATTTGCTCAATGTAGCTAGATCTTTGAAGTTTCAATCAGGTTTGCCTTTGGTTTTCTGGGAAGATTTTGTTCTTCATGCAGCATACCTGATTAACAGAACACCAACACCTATTCTAGACCACAAAACACCATTTGAAATCCTGCATAAAGTTCCCCCTGACTATATGAACTTAAAGGTGTTTGGCTGCTTAGCTTATGCTACAGCAGTAGAGGGTCACAAGTCCAAATTTGATCCTAGGTCTAGACAATGTGTGTTTCTAGGGATCCCTAATGGTATTAAGGGATACAAGCTGTTGGATCTAGCTACCAACAAGGTCTTTGTTAACAGAGATGTTGTTTTTCATGAGCAGATTTTGCCTTTCAAAACAGGCACATCTGACTCAGATTCTACAGAAGAAGAGCTTCCCTCACAGCCTTCTTCTGTTCCTTTGTCTTCTTCAATTCCAGAAGAATCTTCTTGTTCTGATTCTTCACCAGCTCTTGAACCTGAGTTGACAGAATATCCTTCTCCTTCTGTCACCACATCACCTCAGTTTACTTCACCAGTTTTTCCTACTCCTACCAGTCCAGACACTTCAGTTAGGGGTTCTTCCTCTTCCTCTTCTGATTTGTCTCACACACCTACTCCTCCTCTCACTCCTCCAACCACACCAGTAGTACCCCTTAGAAAATCAACAAGGCAAGTAACATTTCCTAAGAAATATGATGATTTCTATGTGGGTTTGAACCAAGTCAGTTTTGGTCCCAAGTTGGTTATCCCTCAAGACTTGGCTCATCTTTCACCACAACAACAGCACTTTGCTTTAACCCTTGCAGCAGCCTTTGAGCCTTCCTGTTATGCTGAGGCTGCTCAAGACCCTAGGTGGAATGCAGCCATGATTGAGGAACTGCAAGCTTTATTTGATAATAATACTTGGGACATCACTGACTTGCCAGGGGGAGTGAAGGCAGTTGGTAACAGGTGGGTTTTCAGGATTAAGTACAATCCTGATGGAACAATTGAGAGATTTAAAGCACGTTTGGTTGCCAAAGGATACACACAAGTGTATGGCATTGATTATTGTGATACTTTCTCACCTGTGGCCAAACTGACTTCTGTGAAAATGTTGCTAGCTGTTGCATCTGTTAACAACTGGCATTTGCATCAAATGGATGTTAACAATGCTTTCTTGAATGGTGAATTGGAGGAAGATGTGTACATGGAATTACCAGAAGGCATGAGGGATAAGCCTGAGTACAAGGGAAAGGTTTGCAAGTTGAAAAAGTCTCTCTATGGTTTGAAGCAAGCCAGCAGGATGTGGTATGCTAAATTGACAGAATCTTTGCTTGCTAATGGATTCAGACAATCCATGTCTGATTATTCAATTTTCTTAACTGAGATTAAGGGACATTTGGTGGTCCTTATTGTCTATGTGGATGATATTGTGGTTGGTAGTGTGAATCTGGAAGCAGTAATTGCAGTTAAGAATATGCTGAAGTCCTTGTTTAAAATGAAGGACTTAGGAGAGTTGCAGTATTTCCTTGGCTTGGAAGTAAACAAAACTGCCACAGGGATTCATGTTTCTCAAAGGAAGTATTGCACAGAACTCTTGAAGGAGGCAGGATTTGATGAGTGCAAACCTGCAAAAACCCCTTCCAGCATAAAACAGGTCCTTTCAGCCTCAGATGGTGACCCTTTTCTAGAGGTTAGCAAGTTTAAACACTTGTTGGGACAGTTGCAGTATCTGACAAGTACTAGACCAGACATAAGCTTTGCTGTTCAACAGCTTTGCCAATTCCAAGATTCTCCAACCACAGTTCACTATAAAGCTTTGCAGAGGGTGTTTAGGTACTTGAGTAATTCACCTGGTCAAGGCTTGTTCTATTCCAAGGATTCTGCTGTGCAATTAACAGGGTATAGTGATTCTGACTGGGCCACATGTCCTGATTCAAGAAGATCTTTGACAGGGTTTTGTGTTTTTCTGGGGACAAGTTTGATTAGCTGGAAAACAAAGAAGCAGAGTACAGTTTCCAGATCTTCCTCAGAGGCAGAATATCGGGCTTTGGCTCAGCTCAGTTGTGAAGTTCAGTGGTTAGTGAGATTGCTTTCTGACTTTGGAGTTGCTCACTCTCAACCAGCCTTGGTTTACTGTGACAATCAGTCAGCAATTCACATTGCCAGGAATCCAGTGTTTCATGAGCGAACGAAACACATTGAGGTTGATTGTCATGTCATTAGAGAGAGACTGATGAATGGTTTGCTTGATTTGAGACATGTTTCAACTACCTACCAGTTAGCAGACATCTTTACCAAAAGTCTTGGTATAGATCGCTTTAACATGTTGATGTGCAAGCTGGGAGTCTCTGGAAGACACTCGCCAGCTTGAAGGGGGGTAATAGATGAATGAGCAGCAGCAGCTGAGGATTGAACCAGAAGAGAAGTGCAGGAAGCAGCTGCTGCAGGCTGAAGATGTTTGCAACCGAGGATCACAAGCCCAGGAGAAACGGCGGCGTTTTGCTCTAATCCGGAAAGCTGCTTTGGAGCAAAACGGAGACGTTTCACCAATAGAAGATAGCGATGGCTCTATACGATGTCGTCCTTCTTAGTTCGTTGATTGCAAGTTTAATTGTGTCTTGTGGACACGTGCTTTCGTTTTATTGGTTGTTTTTGATTAGTTAGTTAATACTGTAGATTAGCCGTTAGTTTCCACTTTCCTCTGTAAAGGCTGTTGGGTATATATTGAGAAATGCAGAAAACGAAGCTCTCGAGATTTGAGAACCTTCACCAAAAACCCTAGCAATACTCTGCTGTTCTTCTTTTCTTCTCAGAGACGTCGAGCTGCGAAAAATTCGACGATTTGGAGTGTTGCATGCTCGTTCTGCATCCGGAGAAGCCGGAAATCGTGTTTTTAGAGGTCCGCGATAGTCATCGGGGCGGTGGTAACAAGGAGGCTGCTACCACGGTTTTCACTTGCGATATGAGGAAGGGAAATCTGGAGTATTTCGCTCGAGTGAAACGAGGTGCGTCTCGTTGGCCGGTGTTCCATCCTCGAGCCAATTACAAGTGTTTGCCTACCCCGATTCCAAGGCATCTGAAGGGAGCCTCAACTGTTTGATTTAGAACAAGTCGTCGAAGCAACGATAAACTTCCTATTAGAAACCGGTGATCACTCACTTCAGCTTGCTATAGGAATCCATGTTTTTTTTGTTTAGCTGGATCAAGAGGAACAGTTTGCTCTCACTGAAGAATGCCAACCACGCTTACGGTGTTGAACAATTTGTTCATCGAAGGCATCATGTTGATTTCAGTATATAGTTTCTTAATGAACTTCTGTGCGGTAATTACGAATAGTACAAAGTTTCTTGTGAAATTCCTTTCTAAGCATTCATCCAATATCATTGTAGCTGGGTAGTTTCTTTTCAATTACTTCAGATGAGTACTTATCCGGATGGAAAGAGATTTCAGAAAGTCGATCTGTCCCATATGACATAAAAATAGATAGAGAAGAGACAATGCACGAAATCATACTGAAATATCATACCGGATAAGGTAACATTGTGATTTGGTCTTAGTTTAGTTGGATTTTTTGTACCAAATAGATGAGTTACACAAACAACCGTACATTCGAAATACATAATATCATTGTAAAGTAAAAAAAAAAGGGGAACCCCCATTATTCAAAAGGGTAAAGTAGACATAACATGGGATTTGTAAATCCAAACATTTCGCATTGATAGTCATCAGCCTCGTTGTTTTTTTTCCCCCTCTCCATATTCCAGTAGTTCAGAATCCGCAACATGCTCCGCAAGGCTGGCCTATGATCGAACACGCACAGCAGAAATTAGATTTGCAGCCTGAGTCAATCGTTTTACACGATGACTTCTTCTTAGCTATCGTGTATTGGTTAACTGTGGATGCGCTGCCTTCGGCGCCTGCTGCCATCTCTGCAAAAAAATACAAAAGCAAAGTACAATTATGCAATTTACGAAACTTTTAACTGTGTAAGGTATAAATAAACAAGCTGGCTGATGATCATTTACTTACCGTGGTTGGAGCGGGGGATCAACGGGGCCGCAGCCATGGATGGAGGCAGCATGACGACATGGAGGAAGGCAACCAAAAGCAGACCGAACCCGATCACCACAGCTTTGTTGGAGTTCATCCTTACAAGAGATTAGGGTTTCAGTAGTTATCCTATGCCTATGTTGATGATGGTAATTATGTGGGGTTTTGAATGATGATTTAATTTATATATATATATATAGGCAAATTAAGCTACCCAGCTTGGCAGGTCTTCTCTCTTGTCCTGTCTGTATATATGATTGTGTAAAATATAATATCCAGAGTTACGTACGTTATGTTGATCTACATATAATTTGACGTTAATTTTCATTCATGAATTCCAACGCTTGTGCGCTTGTTCTTTGCATTTTAGCAGTGGGAGGATTCGATTGGTTGCCTGATTCTCAGAAACACGTTTCAGTTTGGCGAGAATTGTTTGAAGTTTAGGTTAAGATGGAATAATCTTTAGGAGAGTTGATTGAATATAGAGTCCCATGAGCTTGGTATGTAATTGGTATCATCACCAAATCTGTCGTTGTATATGTGGGATTTGAGCCCCATCGGAATCTTTGGATTTGCCAATGGGTGTGTTTGTTTCAATCTCATATTTTCGGTAAGTGTTTGGAGAAAGTAAAATTGATAGGATGATAGGGTTTTTTTTTTTTTACTTATTGAAAGGTACGTAGTAGGGCTGAGAATTTAGATCAAATCGTATGAGGAATTGTGGTCTAGATCGTATCATATAATTTGGATTGTGAAACCAAGACTATGATTTGGTCTGGTTTATGGCCTCCTTCTTTAGTGTGTGGTCTAAAATGGTCTAGACCGTGGTTTACCACAGTAAATCGTGACAGACTACCTTCTAACTCACACCAAAATAACACTAAATTAAACGTCCATTTTTGTATTTAAAGAACTAAGTAAGTTGATTATTCATCCAGTTAAGACCCAACAGATTGCCTAAATGATCTCTTATGCATTATTTCCTTATCAAAGAACCACACAAAAACATGAAAGATAAGGAAAACTATTGAGAGATAAGCGACCATCTTAGTGGTTCAAAACGACTTCGACGTCATCACAACGAATGCTCGAATGTCCAGCTTCCCACCTTTTTGTAGAGAGGTGATCGACTATGAGAACCTTCCAGATCACACGAGACCGACGAGAGAGTGAGAGAAGCGGCAACACAAAGAGGAAGAGGAAAATAAGGCTATTTGATGTATGTTTTTTTTAATGGATAGTGGATAGAGCTACTCGAGAGAGAATTTGAAAATTGAAAAAATCCACTTCTCCCCTCATATATTTCTTCACATTTTAATTACGATCACTCATTTTTTTTTGTTTCACAAGTATATTGGTTACTGAAATTTTAATTTGTATTGATACCAGGGAGGATAGTAGGGCGGAATAAGAGTGAATTTTTATAACAAGGTTTGCTTGGTCTAGATCGTACAAGACTGCACCTAGAGGTGGCAAATGGATTGGATTGGTGGATTAGATTGGTTGATCCATGGATCAAATGGATTGGATCTAATGGATTGGTGGATTCATGGATTGGATGAAATGGATTGGTGGATTATCCATGAATCCAAATGACATCCTCAACCAAGGACCAATATGTAAAATGTAAAAAGTTTAGGTACTAAAATGTCACAATGAAAAAATTTAGGTACCAAAACGTAATTTTCCAATGATATTTTTCGTATAAAAATTTAAATTTAATTACCAAAATGTAAAAAATAAAAATTATAGGTACTAAACCGTAATTTGTCAATGATCCATGGATCCAATCCATGAATCCACCAATCCAATTGGATTTGGATCAAATGGATTGAATTTAAATGAATTGGATTAGGTGGATATTTTTAATGGATTGATGGATTGGATTGGTGGATTGGATTGAAATTGCCACCTCTAACTGCACCGTATAGTATATGGTATGGTTCATGATCTGTGTCCCAATAAGTTACGATGCTAGTAGCCGCACCATCATCAGGTTCATCAACAACAGCAGCCGCCGCCTCTTTCTCCTCCTCGCCATCGTTGTATTTTGCAGCATACTTAACACGGCGGTGGCGGCAAAAGAGAGCCGAATTCTCCGGCGAGACACATATGTGTCTACTGTCTAGTAACCATCATAGCGGTTCCACGCGCACACGCCAGAAGCTGCTGCTTCGCCTTCAAAGTTCAAACTACTGCTGGGCCGACTTATGGACTTACGTGTTGGGCCTTGGGTTTTGCATGGAGTCCACGCTCTACATAACATACATATATTTCCGTTGGGCTTTTCTAATGTACTTGAGTTGGGTCAGTTTTAGCTAGGGGCAAGAAGCGTTTATCACAGCTAGGCCTAGATGTGGTGTGATGGATGTAATGAAATAGGATTAGTAATAATTATTAGCCAAATTTTTTTCACATCCTTTTATATTAAAATTATTGAATTATTAATTATTAGTCAAAAATTTTGTAATATATTAAAATATTATTCATTTCTCTATTATCGTTAATAATTTCTGATTCTCTTTTTAGTTAAAATACTAAAGTTCTGGAATGTTGACCTTCGTATGTATCTTTCAACTCAGTGTCATGTTGCCAAACAAATATTACTAACAAAATTACTAATTTGAAGTCGACATTTGACTAATTAGTAGTAATTCAATAGATTTGACTAATAAAAAAGAATACTGAAAAAGGTTTGGCTGATAATTAGTCATTACCCGCGAACTAATGATAATAATCATACTATATATTGTGATTCTGTTGCCTGTTTTCGTTTAATTTTGTATTGTTCTTCCTGAAACATCCCGTCCACTAATGTTACAGCCACGAACCAAATATGACACTGGAGCACGTATTTGTACGATTATAATAAGCGAGGGAACAACGAAATCCGATAGTAATGCCAAATAAGTAAGATCAAGAAAGTGGATACAATATGAGAGCCATACATACGAACGTACATAACAATAACATTCAAAAGACAAAAACATTTATTAAGGGAAGAACCCATTATTCCAAAGGGAAAGTACGTACACATATTATAGATCGATTTTTAAACCCAAACAAAACATTATTTCATATCTTGATAGTCTTGTTCTTCCTTTTCATTCCACCTGATCACCACCAGCAGTAATATTTTACGAGTCATCATTAGCCGCAGCAGGCTCCGCAAGAACCTATTGAGCAAGAACAGCAGAACTTTGACGGGCAGCTTGTGTCAACCGTGTGACACTTCTTGCCCCATCCCGATGGCTCAACTGTGGATAATGCGCTGCCTCCGCCTACCATCTCTGCAAATACAAACGCAATAAGTACGTACAAAAAAACACAATCATCATCATGCATAACGTAAGGTACGTACAAACAAGCTGATTATTGTCAAATGTAGTAAAAAAACACGCGTTTGTACGTAAAAGCGTAAGTTTTTTAACCCTTTAAAACGCTATAGTTTGACTACATTATCGATCGTTACTAGAGGTGGCAATTGGATCGGATTCGTGGATTCGTGGATTGGATTGGTGGATCCATGGATCAAATGGATTGGTGGATTCATGGATTGGATCAAATGGATTGGTGGATTGATCCATGAATCCAAATGACATTCAAGGCTTGGACCAAAATGTAAATTTTGAAAAGTTTTGGTACTAAAATGTCATAATGAACAATTTTAGGTACCAAAATGTAATTTTCCAATGATATTTTTCGTATAAAAATATAAATTTTAGGTACCAAAATGTAAAATGTAAAAAATATAGGTACCAAATCGTAATTTGCCATTTGGATCCATGGATTGATCCATGAATCCACCAATCCAATTGGATTTGGATCAAATGGATTGGATTAGGTGGATAATTTGGTGGATGGATTGGATTGGATTCATGGATTTGGATCTTAATTGCCACCTCTAATCGTTACTGCAATTATTTCATCGTTGCTTACCCTGCAGGTGCGAGCGTGGGATCGATGGGACGGCAGCCATGGATGGAGGCACCACGACGGCATGAAGGAAAGCAAGGAGAAGAATGCCGAACCCGATAACCACAACTTTGT